TATACGCTCCAGTCGTCCAGGCATAGCAGGCGTGGCACTTTCTCGACACCACAGGGGGTGCGCAGGGGGTGGTCTTTCACAGCGGTATCTATACGCCCCAGTCGTCAAGGCATAGCAGGCGTGGCACTTTCTTGACACCACAAGGGGTGCGCAGGGGGTGGTCTCTCACCGCGGTCTCTATACGCCCCAGTCGTCCAGGCATAGCAGGCGTGGCACTTTCTCGACACCACAGGGGGTGCGCAGGGGGTGGTCTCCCACCGCTGCCTCTATACGCCCCAGTCGTCCAGGCATCGCAGGCGTGGCACTTTCTCGACACCACAGGGGGTGCGCAGGGGGTGGTCTCTCACCGCTGTCTCTATACGCCCCAGTCGTCCAGGCATAGCAGGCGTGGCACTTTCTCGGCACCACAGGGGGTGCGCAGGGGGTGGTCTCTCACCGCGGTCTCTATACGCCCCAGTCGTCCAGGCATAGCAGGCGTGGCACTTTCTCGACACCACAGGGGGTGCGCAGGGGGTGGTCTCCCACCGCTGCCTCTATACGCCCCAGTCGTCCAGGCATCGCAGGCGTGGCACTTTCTCGACACCACAGGGGGTGCGCAGGGGGTGGTCTCTCACCGCTGTCTCTATACGCCCCAGTCGTCCAGGCATAGCAGGCGTGGCACTTTCTCGGCACCACAGGGGGTGCGCAGGGGGTGGTCTCTCACCGCGGTCTCTATACGCCCCAGTCGTCCAGGCATGGCTTGTTAGCTGCGGTTGGAGCTCTAACATCGTATGTGGGAGCCCCGTGGGAGCTCTAACAGGCCATGTTAGAGCTCCCACGGAGCTCTAACAAAGAGGAAAATGCTGATGGTATGGATGGTGATGATGATGATGTTGATGATGCTGATGATGATGATGATGGGAATGGTGATGATGGTATGGTGCGGGCGGTTGTGATGGTGATGATGGTGATGGTGATGATGGTGATTCTGGATGTGATGAGCACCAGCATCATCACCATCACCATCGCCACCACCATCAGCACTACGATCTGATAACCACCATCATTACAATCGTCGTCGGCCCAGGTCGGACGATGATGAATATCATGACGACGATGATGACGATGATGATGCAAATGATGCAAAAACAGGTTGAGTCGGTTGAGTCCGAAAACTTCGCCTTACAAGCCAGGAAGTGTGCCTTCACACTGGCCCCGCAGATCGCAGAGAGGGTGAAGTCTGCGATGGGCCAGCACCAGGCTGCCGGGCGTGAATCAGTTCGAAGATACATCAAGGCCCGTCCTCAATGGGCGACGAGCTCAGCATGGATGCGCAGTTAGCAACATGCACATGGATTTCTGTCTTCGGTGGCGGCATTCTGCCCGATCATCTTTTCGAGGGTGCCTTCCTCGCGGCAGTGCGGCGCGAAGGCATGCACCTCCCATGGCCCGCAGTTTCCTTGAACCCCGAGATGCACGACATATTCGTCGAACATGTTTCTCGGAGGAGCCTTTCTGCAACCGCGTGATGATACACTTCACCTTCGCTGAGGACTTCGTATTATCTGCCTGGGTAGATTTTCTCAAGACAGAGTCTGTGCATCATTCAAGCTTGCATTTGGATGGCGTCATGGTAAGCCATCGTCGAGTTGGAGATCGGGCTTCCTTCGCAGCCAGCTCGGAGACTGCCATCTTGGAAGGCGCTGGCTGTTCCGTAGAGGTTTCTTTGAAGTCTGCGGGCGTTTTTTTTTGTTTACAAAAAATATCGCGGTTGTGGAGACCACGGCGCGCGTTGACGCACACGCGCGCACATATATATGTATATATATATATATGTATATATGCTTATGGTTTTAATGACGCCGGGCATTTGCATCGCGCTCAGGACAGCCAGGACGAGGGCGATGCAATCCATTCGCGCCCACCACTACTGCTTGCCATTTCCATCCTAGGTCCAGGAGTTGCGAATGTGCTCTTCGCCGAGCTCGGATGGCGCATTCGCCAATCCACGTTCCGGGACAAGCTTGGTCGACATCAGTTGATGTGTATGGATCTCGTCGCCTGAAGGTTGAATGGCAATGTTGCCGCGGCAGCGACGACCCCGAGCAGGCGCAAGAGGGTGAACGTGGATGCAGTGGAGATCCAGTTTCGGACCTCCAACGACTGCAGCAAACTTTTGAAACTATTCCTGGCGCCTTCGTTGGTTCCCAGCTGGCGAAGGCAAGTGCTTGATCCACGTCGAGAATGACAGCCACCCGCAGTGGTTGGCCATGACCGTGCTCCAGAACGACGTTTGCCACGTGTCCGTTGGAGAGAAAACGTGCCTGACGAAGATCTTGGCCGTGCATCCATGCTGGTCAGCTTCTGCAGAATTCGGATTTCTCGCTCAGTTCAAGCTTTCGGTCATCGAGCTCCCGCTGGAATCGCCCGAACATGCGGTTCTTAGTTTGGCTGCGGACGGATCGATCAGCGAGTGCGCGCCTTGCGCCGAGGGGAAGGGGCCGCGGCAAAACGCCTCCGACGCGCCCGAGACGCATTTTGACGTGCGAGGACATGGTTGCTGATTCTGCCAGAAGGGAGGGGCGACTCGCGAGGCCATCGCGCGCGACGCGACGGTCGCGCCGCGGCAGTGCAACAGCAAGAAGTTCGGATTGACACGCGGCCCGGATTTCGCGTGGGTCGGAGGGCGCAAGAAGAACATTTCCTGCTTCGACCTCGATGGCGCTGGGGTCGTCTTCGTCCCGAGTTTGCGCGGATTTACCATGAGGTGCGTGCGATGCTACGAGGCGACGTTGTTCAGGAACTTCGCGTCGGCCAGAGGTCCGGACTGGGTCCAGAAGGACGTCTTTGACGACGGCGACGGCGGCGGTTGGCAGGGACAGGAGTTCCCGTTCAATTTGCGCAGACTTCGTGCCCGTGCCATCCAGCATGCGCTGGCCGCGCAAGAGTCGGAGCCCCTCGCCAAGCATGTAGATGTCTACGTGGAGGAAGACATCAGCGACATGTCTACGCGGGACTACGATGACCAGCTTCGCCAGCACATCTACCCGCCTGCCAATCTCACCTCCATCACTGAACTTGCGGGCGACGGTCGCGGCAAGACGTTGGCGCGCTGCGGCGGCGGCCGTGGCCGGGCAAGGGGCGTCGCGATGAAGAGACCTCCGGTTGCGCGCAAAGTCGCAAAGGTAGCCGCAAAGAGGCAACCCGCGGGCCGTTAGAGTCGCGCCGAACCCAAGCCTGCGGCGAAGAGAGCCGCCGTGGTCAGGAAACTTGCGGCGACCAGGGCTGCCGTGGAACGCGAGCCTGCGAGGTCTTTGCGCCACGGCAGCGAGTGGTTCATCTTCTTGGCCACGACTGGCCGCGTAGTTGCGGTGGCCGACCAGATTGCGCCAGAGGGTATTTACGTTGTCAAATCCACCATTTGAAGGTCCTCCCGCAGTACCCGAAAGGCAACTGCGTCGTCTACGACAGGGCGTGCTCGGTAATGCCGTCGGCGTTGCTTGACGACCAGTTCGGCCAGATCAAGTACTGGATCGTCGACGGGCTGCGCGCGCAGAAGCACGCGCCAACCTGCGCGCGCAGCCCGCTGAGGATCCGCCGCCTGAAGCTGCGGGTCAGCGGAGTCAATGCTCAGGTGGCAGAGCAGTGTTTCTCTTGGTTTCGTGGCTACGCGCGGATCTTCAACGAGATGTCGCAGAGCCGCCGTCGCTTCTTCGTCTTGTGCTCGCACCGAAGCACAATTCACAGCTAGCTTCAGGGGGCGCTGGCAGCCGCCGGCGTAGTCCACGAGAGACGCAGCGGGCACTATCCATGCGCCTGGTGCACGCGGTTTTCGCGCTGCGTTGATAAAGGCGCATGCGCCCGCCATCGTCTGTAGTGGCTTGCCCCGACTATTGCCGCTGGGGGGGGGGTGCGCGTCGGCGCGGCGCGCAACAAACACAACAAACCGCTATAGATGCACAAGTTTATTGCATGTAAGTGTGCGTGAGCAATTCGACAAATGAGAACGTCCCGTTGGGAATTATGTTTGCGCTGTCACTGTATACCAGTAGTCCCCTGCCCCGGGATATGGGGTGAGGGCGCGGATTTGCGCTGAGCGCGGCGAGTTGTGATCTCGAGGGCTCGGCGTGCATGCGCGCATCGCGAGGCAGAGAAGCATGGAGAAGCCGGAAGCCCGCCGCAGGCGCCGAGTTGGCCACGAAGATATCAATGAGGATCCTTGGCCCAAGTCCGCCGCAGGTGCCGATGCAGTTTCAGCGACAACCTCCATAGATAACAGCGCACAGCAGAGGAGATGCCAGCCCAGGTCGGACGATTTTTCGGCGATCTCGATGTTCAATTTGATGCGGCCTGTGCGGCCGAGGAGACTTCCACAACAGCCCAGTCTCGATTTCTCAGTCCCCTTGTTCCGCCTACCTTTCGCGCTCCTCCACCCCCATTGGCGCTTGAAGCATTGCTGTGGAGTTGCGCTACGGGTTTGCCACCTCGCCTTGCCGATTTGGGACTAGAGCGGATTGCAGTCAGGTTCGGACTTGGGCAAATGTCCTTCGCCCCATGGCCCCGTCCCCTGCGTTTCGCCGTTGCGTCTCGCAGGTGGGTTTCGGGAAGAGGGGCTGTGAAGGATCCCCGTGCCTTTCCTGCTCCTCATTTTGGCGCTGCCCCTGTCTGGTCTCAGGTATTGGCATGCGCGCGGGGAGACGGACTCGCGGGGAACGGTAAAACCTTCATCATCGTCTTTCATTCATTGCTACCGCCTTTACCAACGGATACTCGGGAGGGGGTCGTCCCTTCGGTCAACGCATCCTTCGCGAGGGGGATAGGCCGAGGGGGGATTGAGTTGTCCAGCCGCGGCGTTTTGTCCCAGGTGTCGGCATTCGGGGCCCGTTATCGGGCCTTGGGGCCGTCGAGACAAAACTTGGGACGGAAACCGAGCCACAGGGAAGGGGGCGGGCCTTTCGAAGTCGCGAATGGGACAACATAATGTCGGCGGATGCCCGGGGCGTCAAGAGGGGTATATTCAGGCACCAAAAACAACACCATACAATCCATACATCATTTATCGGAGCTCCGCGCGCCCTCCATCCATGATGCGATTAGGTCGCCAGGAGCGGGTGCGTTGCTACTGCAGCGGCGGTGCGGAACCCGCAGCCCAACAGAGAGGACGAAAGGGTAGCCGAGCAAGGAAGAGGACGCAGGCCCTTACATCCGACGCTGGGATCTTCTAGCCGCCGGCGTTTTCGCCAGGCGTGTGCCCCAAGGGCCGTCACAGACCTGTCCAGCCCGAACAGTGGCGCAGAAGGATGTGGTCGAGGGCCCCTGTCGTGATTTTTCTGGCAGTGGTTCGTTTAGTGTTCGCGACGCCGGATCTGAGGGGGCAGCCTGCAGGACGCCGCTGTGCGCACGATTCGCACGCTGCCGCCGTTGCGGGACCCTGGCATCCAGCCCCTGCCCGGGGTCTGTGGCGCGGGCCTCCGACCCCTGTAGCTCTGGGCTTGGGCGGCAGGAGGCCGCTGCTGTGTCGAAGTCGTTTCTGGAAACACCCCCCCCTGCAGGGGGCGCAACTCGCCCGTGGAGGAAAAGGTCTACCCACACAATCCTGGTCAGAACGCACCCCGGGGAGAGGTCCGGGGGGGAGCGGTATCGGTACCTCTTGGTTTCCCCAACCGATTTTGTTTCCAGCTGGCCCATCTCGCATCGACTCCGCTTGCTCCGGGCCTCTGTGAGCGGCCCGCCGGAGGGCGCTGCTGGTTCGAAGTATTTTTTTGTAGAGCTTCCTGGAGGGCGCAATTTTTCAAATGCGTGTTTTGTGCCGCCCCATGTCGCTTTCACTGCTAGGTGCGGCAAGGATCTGCACCTGCCGTGTGATGTCGGCGCAGGTGCGCATCGCCCGGCGTGGTTAAGAGAGGGCTCAACGGATGAAGGAGACGGAAGGGAGGTATCACTCGGGCAGTTTGCGTGCGCACGTTCCTGATATAGTACACAAGCGGCGACCAGGTTATTGGTCCCAAAGGCGGCCCAGCTTCCATGAACCCGACGCGACCCCAATTGTTCTTGCCGCCTGTAACACTTCGAAGAAGTTCTGAACAACGTGGAGCAATACAATCGAAGAATTTCTTGGCATTTCTTGGCATTGTTTGTCAGCGCGTTGCATTGCTTTGCATTGCTTGGCATGTCTTTGCATTGCTTGGCGTTGTTTAGTGTTTGGCATGTGTGTGTGTTGCTTTGCATTGTTTGGAATTACTTGGCGTCGCATTGCATGGCATTGCTTGGCGCTTGGCGTTGCTTGGCATTGCTTGGAATTGCTTGGCATTCACCCGCAGGACGCCGCAACTCCTGAGGAGCCAAAGTTCGACGAACCCCATGAACGTCCCGAGGAACCACAGACCAAGCAACCCGAGGAGGGACCCGAGGAACCCAAGACCAAGGAACCCGAGGAAGGCCTCCGACGAAGCACCCCAGACCCACCTGATTCTTCACAAAAATGTAGGCACCCTTTTTTTGGCAAAGCCTATTGTAAGCAAAAATCCATCCTCCCACCCGCAACCAACTTTTTCCTTGGGCGTTTGAATATGTTTTGGAGCATTTGGGGAGGAACCTCGGCCCCAAAGGGCTTGAAGATGGTTCAGGAGGATGGCACGGGGCCGCGAAGACGGCTCAGGATGACCCAAGACGCCACACAAAGATTCGAGGACGGGCCTGACCGACCACTAGGTGCCTCAAGTGACGATAAAACATGTATCCAGAGGTTTTCGACATTCAAAGTCAAAAAAAAACATTGCTGTATGCTTGTCCCCACCCATCTATTGAAACGGTTACTTCTGGAACATTCCAGAGCGCGTCCAACTGGCCAAGCAACGCCCCCCCCATCGAAAGATTCCAGCAAAGCACCCTACCCAATCGTGAAGAGGCTGGTTGAGTAGTAGGAGGTCGGCAACTGAATACGTGCATTCCCATGTATTGGAGTATGGGAGCGAAGAATGACATAAATATAAAAACACGGAGGTCCGCGCGGACCTCAGAGTTATTGTGTTTATGCCATTATTTGTTTCCTTATGGATCTTCACTCTTGGGCCAGAGGCGTGCGTGAGAGTGGGGCTCCACCAACACGGTGCATTTCTTATGTAAGAGCCGTGCGTGGGAGCGGAGCTCCGGCAAGATGAAATAAGCGGGAAGATCACGGCGAGCATGGCCATTTGCACTCCGGTGTTTTCTGCTACCAGGGACTGTTCATGGCGCCAACATCGCAGAGCGGATTTCGTTCGGAAAATTACACCAGAGAATCGACCGGGAACCGGGGAACCCGGAACCCACCGAAATCGGGCCGGAGCCAGTAACCAGGAACCCGGGAACCACGAACCGGGATCCCGGGAATCCAGCGGGCTAACACAATAGGCGGGAAAGTTTCGCCAAACCTTTCAATTCCGGACTTCGAATTTGATTTCGTGCAGATTTTGGTTGACCAGAAATGAAGACTACAAAGAGTCCACGTGAAATTCACACTTCGTTTTTTACTCGCCGTGTCCGGGTTTTGCGCTGACCACGCAAAAGTCCGCTGCAGCACGTCTGCAAGGTTGGTGCAATGAGACTGTGGCCGTCGCGACCAGACGTGTAGCTGGCATGGGGGAGAGGGCACGACTGCTTCAGAAATTGTGACGACTCCTGCACCGAAATCGCGGCCGATCCGCTGCCCAACCGGGCGGTCTCCAGCTCGCCGTTTCGGTGTGTTCTGTTACCAGGGGCTGTGGCCGTCGCGAGCAGACGTGCACATTTGGCATTGGTCGGGACCCCGCAAAGGGGAGATGTGCCCCGGGGTGTGTGTGGCTTCGATCGGCTTTTGCACCGAACTGCCCACAACAGATGCCCCCCAGCCGCAGGCAGGTCCTCATAGTGTGGCATGCGGGGGGCACCTGTTTGCGGCAGTTCGGTGCACCAGCGGATCGAATTCGTGCCTCAGGTCGGGCCGAACGAAAAGGGGGGGATAGGCAAAGTGGGGGTTACGAAATCTGCTGCATACAGCTGGCTTCGGCCCCGCCGCCAGGCCCATTCCTCGATACATGGGCGCCAGGAAAATTAGCTACGTGAGCTGATTCTCACACCCCCCTTCGCTATCCCCCCGTTCGTTCCCTCCGACAAGGGTCACCCCCCCTGTGGTGGATCCCGAATTGAGGCGAGAGCACGATGGCTTCATGGATTGTGAAGAGGCCTCCACCAGGGCTGGACCTAAACGGTGCTTTTGGTGACTTCGTGGGCCGTTTTTGTTTCGCCTTCGTTTTGCGGTGAAAGCAGACTGAAGACAAAACGAGGGAAAACAGAAACAAACCCAAAACGAAGAACACCGTTCAGATTCAGCCCTGGCCTCCACCGGAATTTACGGCCTGGCCGCTGCCCGGCTGGGCGGTCTCGGGCTCGCCGTCCGCCTTTCTCGGGTGCTCTCCCGCGGTCCGGAAAATCATGATGGGCCTGTTCTCCACCACCACCACCATGAGTTGGAGGGGGAGGGGACGGAAGAGGAGGAGGAGGAGGACGAGGAGGAGGAGGAGGTGGAGGAGGTGGAGGAGGTGGAGGGGGAGGAGGAGAACCCCCTCCCCCTCCAACTTCTGGTGGTGGTGGTGGTGGAAAACAGGCCGATCAAATCAGAGAACGAAAAGGTACCCATATCGCTCCTCTTGCCTCGATTCCCCTTTTGGGGCCCCCTTGGAGGATCTCGTTGCCACCGCTGGGTTCGCTATGAAATTCCGGTAAGAGCGCACCCCAGGAGAGGTCACGGGAGTAGCGGTATCGGTATTTTCTGTTTTCACCATCTTTTAGGTTTCTCTAGCGAAGCGCTAGTAGGGAACAGGATAAGCCAGGACCACGACCACCCCGAGAGGGCCCCAAGACTGTCCGAGAGAGCCTCGAGGATACCCATGCGGCCCAGGGAGGTTCCCAGGACCCCCACACCAGAGAGGGCCCAGGAACGCGCCCAAACGGCTTCGCAGGGCCCTGCACAACCTCCACGCTCAGAAATTGTCCAACAGGGTTCGCCAGGCTGAAAGAAGTGCACAAGGAGCCCCAAGAAAGCTCAGGATTATTGCCGCGGGCGGACCTTGTTGGCTTCCTTCTCCTTCCCTCCCGAGCATTCGGAGGCCGCCCTCGAGCTCCTCTGAAACGGCTCGGCCCAGGATCTTCAGATTACCCAGGATGGCCACAAGGGGCCTTGCGACGAGAGCCTTCCGACCGCCAACACGTCGAGGTTCAGCGAGATTTCTGGCATTTGGGCTGTTGTCGGGATGCCATGGCCGTCGGCTTCGGGTTGGTTTCAGGAAAGGCTTTGGTGGAGATTGGCCTCGAGGGGGATTCGTGAGCTTCCTGCCACACCGGGCGTGACATCTATTGCATGCCGCGCGACGCCCAAGTTATTTTTTAACACAGGCGTCCGCGAAATTCGTCCGTCGCCTTGTACAGTTGTTGAGCTACTGGATCGGTTGGCGTGGTTGGATTCCATCACCGTTCCCTTTGGCCCATTGGCGCTGTGCATTCGCATCCCGGACCTTTCACCTATTGTTTCGCCCCCCCCCAGCGGCAAAGCGGCTGGAGCGAATTATATGAGGGGCGCCTCTTATGAGCAGCGGTTTATCCAGAAAGCGCAGGGGATGCCGTTCATTGTGTCTGGCTCTGTTCCCTCTCTCTCTCTCTCTCCATCTCTCTTCGCTCTGCTCTTCTCTGCTGCCTAGTCTTGTTGGCACGTCGAGTCCAGCGTCTGTGCTGAAAATGCGACATGTATTTCATAGACATACATGTCCTCATCAGAGTGAGGGGCCCGAACGCTCATTCACTGTCCCTGGGTGCGTGGCTGAAATGGGGTTCCGCGGTGCGGATTGTTGTTTCGTTCTCATTATTGAAGAAGAATGTTTGTTGACACCCCCTCCGGTGACCATTGTGTTTTTCAATTGAAGTGTTTTCTCCGGGGCTCGCACCCATTTTTTATCAGGGGAAGTCACCGGGCTCAACCTAGGCTGTTGGCCCCGGACTACAACAACAATAACAATCATTCTAAGATTGTTCGTTCTTACTTGCCCGTGTGTCATTCAAAACGAGTTCCCCACAACCTCGATACCCGCCATTTTTGTCTTCGATCACACCCCTTTTGGGGGGATTACTTCTCATTGCGGGGGGCGTCGGTCTTAGACAGGCGGGCAAACCTGAACGGGCGGACCTTCCGTCGTGGGCGTACATGTGCCCGCCATTGGAATTGGTGTGGGCCCTGCAAAAAGAGAAGGGGGAGAACGAGGGAGAGCGAGTGGGAGGAAGGGAGGGGGAGGGACGAAGGAAGAGGGAAGACGGCAGGAGAGAAGGAGCGAAGAGGGGGGCAGTTGATTAGAGGCAGAGAGAGAGAAGAGAAACAGAGAAAGAGAGAGAGGGGATAGAAAGAGAGAGAGAGAGAGAGAAAGCCAAACAAATAAAGAAAGGAGGAGGGAGGAGGCAGGAGAGGGAAGGGAGAAGGGAGGAGGGAGAGGAGGGAGAGGGGATAGGGCAGAGAGGCATAAGGATGAGGGAAGATAGGAGGGAGAGAGAAGAGAGGAGAGGAGGGAGGAGGGAGGAGGGAGAGGGAGGAGGAGCAGGAAGGTAAGAGCGTGAACGTTCGAGGAAGTCCTAGGCGAAAACGCCGTTCCTGAAGGAAGTTTCGGGCGGGAGCCCACGACTGGCGGGCGATCCCCTGACGGGCGGGTCAGGCGGGTGGGATATTCAAGCGGGGAACCTGAGTATGGCGAGAACGCGATTATTAAGTAAAGTGTGACGGCGTCCTTGACGCAGCGTGTTTCCTGAACGTCGAAAGCGCGATTTCTGAATAAATTGCATGGGCGTCACATGCGAGAGCGCACTTCCTGCGACAAATGTGAGGGGCTCTCTGGCGGGAGCGAGGGTCTTGCTTAAATTGC